GGCTGCCGGCTTTCCTCATCCATTACATCAGAAGTGCTCAAAAATGTTGAAATGATAATTAACTAGACAGTGATAGATATGGATATTTCTTTCCTACAGAAGCTCCGATAATCTAGATAAAGGAGTGGGAAGGACATTTTTTTTTCCTCAAAAGCTCAATAGATCTCTGTGAAGCGTATTTTGGGCCTATTAACCCAGAATATAAACAAAATTGCTTTTAACTCATTGATAGTTATGAAATATGGAATCTCAAACTGAAACTAGGATAACTTAAGCAAAGGAAAAAAACAAGTTTCTGACACATGGTGAGAAACTAGCGTAGGCCATGTCTGACCTCCTTTAGCTACACAAAGGCTCTGGAGAATCTATCCCTGCATCTTCCCAAGGCTGATTCCTCTGAGCAGACACGCCTCCTCCCTATGTTCTTATCCAACCTTCCCTCCCATGCACTTCGTGCTCCACTGGGCTACAATGTTACAGTGACCACACAGAGCAGACACAAAAGGTTTACAATTATGGAGATTATTAGGGACTTTAACAGGTCACAAGCCAGGATCAAAAAGCATTAAGGATATTTTCCACAGCACTTCTCTGCCATGCCAACAGGCATAATTCTCTTTAGACTTTAGTAGTTTCTCAGCTACATAGCCTCTTGGCTGCTGCTTTGCTAAGGGAAGTGTTACAAAGCTCCCATCTAAAACTCTGTCTTGGAGTCAATTCTGACTCATGGCGACCCTGTAGTACCTCATTCAGCAAGCTAACCTCCTGCCTGTAGATACTTAGCTTTACTCCTTCCGGGGGCTGAGAAGCCTGTTGCTGTCTCCTGGTCTTAGTGCTGTGCTATTGCCACTGTTTCACACAGGGATCTTACATGCCACTGCTGGTAGCTCATTCTTTGTTTCTGTGTACAAAATAGTTCTCTTCACAGCGAACTGAATAGCAAAACTGGCCAATCCCCTCTCTTCTATGCCTAATTTCCATGCTGCCACTCAGTTATTTGTGGGAGCTTAAAAACTGGATAAAAGCCAAACCAAGGAATTTCACTTCCCCACAACGTGGTAAATAATGGCCCTCTCAAGGATGCCCTAAGAACAAACAAATCTGTCTTGGAAGAAGTATAGCCAGAATGCTCCTGAGAGGCAAGGATGGGAGACTTCATGTAGGTTGGGCGTGGTGTCAAGAGCGCAGTCCCTGGAAGAGGGAAAGTAGGACACGATTGGTAAAGCAGGGCTGTGAAGAGGAAGATCCTCGACGAGGCGGAATGATGCGGTGGCAGCACAGTGGGCTCAGGCATCATGACAGTTGTGGGGACGGCACAGGCCCAATCAGTGTCTTGCTGAGTCAGAAATGACCCCATGGCTCCGAACAGCAGCGACAACAGAGGTTCACACCCTAACTGCCGGAATTTCTGTTTGTTACCTTACCGGACAAACGTGAATTAAGGTGTCAGATGCAATGAAGGTTGCTAACCAGTTGACCTAAAGTGGGGAGATTATCGTGGATTATCCAGGCTAGCCAAATGTAATCACAAGTGTTCTTAAAAGTGGAAGGAGGCAGAAGAGGATCGCAGTTACTGAACATGAGGCCCCAGCCTGTCCTTTCCCAGTTTTGAACTTGGTGGAATAGGCTCCTGAGCTATGGAATATTGCAGCCATCCTCCAGAAGGGGGAAGAGAGCAAGGAAAGAGACTCGGTTCCTGTACTCCTCAGCGTTACCAATACCTAGATTTAAAGCACGTGAGACTCATGTCAGACTTCTCACTTGTAGAACTAGAAATACCTTTTAGGCCACTAAGTTTGTAGAAGTCTGTTATGAGGGCAAAGGGAAACAATAGAATTACCTTGCATTTTGAGAGAAGGACTCTGAAAACCTAGACCATTTAATAGTTTGTATCTTTCAATGTGTTTTCAGGTGTCGGCGTGTATTGGTAGCTCGACATTTTGATGAAGTGTGGAACTCAGATGCATGTAACAAAATGTGTGACAACTGCTGTAAAGACATTTGTGAGTTCACTTTTTAAAACCTCTATTAGCTACCAATTAGGATAGGGCTGCAAGACGGTTTTAAAAGACCGTCTATAGTGAGAATATACTAGATTTAAATCAGCTTTTAAACAAAGGTGGTAAATAAAGGGACAAACTATGGGTACAGACATATGTATATTGCCACATTCAGAGCATATTAGACTTTCAAGAAATGAACTTTTTTTTCTGAATAGAAATATATTTAAAAAGGACAAACAACAGCTACTGATGGGGAAATTATAGCAAATAATTTTTTTTATCTAGATGACAACGAATTACTTATTAGATTCCAACTTAGTAATGTATGGCACTGTGTTTAGCTTCTTTTCATCCTAGGAACAGGTGTTGTATTTTAAGAGGACTAACCAGTTCTTCAGGCAAGGCCTCTGAGTTCTAATGTCATGGTAGCGTAGGTCGTTACAATTTTAACTGTGCAGCTACAGAAACTTATTTGCATTTATTGCACTAAATTAGCAAAGGGCTGATATATAAATCAGAGTCCTACTCTCTGAAGGAATAATTGGGGAGATCTGTTTAGGACATTCTTATCTCTAATTTTTAGAATTTGGCTCAACCAGGTAAGCAAGTGTGAAGAACAGTCGGCTGTCAGGTCAGTCACACATTTTGGTAATTGTCATAACCATGTCTGGCAGGCACTCCATGATCCCTTGTATATACTATAGGCCTTCTGACAATTAGGTTTTTATTTTTGTCCCATCATTGTCAATCCCATAATGCCCAGCAGTGATTAAACCTTGGTCTAGTGAACTTGAGGAGTAGCCTAGTCCTAATTCATGACACAGTAGCTTATGATGAGTGTTGAGTGTGAGTCACATATTGATGACTACTCTAACTGGTTTAACCACCCGGACAGCCTCTCGTTGCCCTCATTTCTAAATTGTAATGGCCTGTACCATGTCTCTTTCATTACAGCATGTGAAAAAAAGAATGTAACTGAGTACTGCAGAGATCTCATCAAGATCCTGAAGCAGGCAGAGGATATGAATGAGAAGTTAACTCCACTGAAGCTGATTGATTCTTGGATGGGAAAGGGCGCAGCCAAGCTGAGAGTAGCAGGTGTTGTTCCTCCCGTCCTTCCTCGAGAAGACCTGGAGAAGATCATTGCGCACTTCCTTCTACAGCAGTATCTTAAGTATACACCCACCGTTCCATGCCCTTCCTGTTGGCTTTAAGTATAGTTTCCTCTGATTTTTTTAAAAAACGTAACAGATTAAGTGGGTTTTCAGTAGCTTCCTGTGAAGTTTTAAATTCTACAGAAAATTTGTGTACTAAGCAAATTGAAGCTGTAATTGATCGTGTATAAGCCATAAAAACATAAAATGAAAATACTTTCTATTAGGATATATTCTTACAGTATGTGTTGTTTCATCAGTATTGTTTCTTCAATTATTGTACAGTCATTTTTGATGTTTAAATGACCTGTAACTCCCTCCCAACCTTTGTGATTGTTCCCTTTTATCTTCTGCAGAGAGGACTACAGCTTTACAGCATATGCGACCATTTCATATCTGAAAATAGGACCTAAAGCCAATCTTCTGAACAATGAGGCACACACTGTCACCATGCAAGTAAAGAAACCTACCCAAAGCTGTTCCAGAGTAAGTGACGAAGTACATTAACACCTCGAGGTTTGCTTTAACTCGTACTCCGCAGATGCAGTTGAGTTTCATGAAGAGAGAGAAGGCAGTTCTCCTCTTAGATTGGGTTTGGAGGAAACAAGAACCTTTGTTTGCTGTAGATATTAAGTACAAGAATTTTAGACTTTTTAAGACAGACTTATGTTTCCAGACTTCTGAATGTGAGGACTGCATTGTGATGTCTAATCTTGTGTTCCCTGCCCTCATGTATTGGTTGTGATCAGTATGGGTGGAGAAGTCATGCCCATTGGAAACCACGTACTAGCAAGCCTGGGAATTCATGCCATTTATCAGTGTGCCCACTGATATGGCAGGTACTCTTTGTGTATGCATGTGACAGCACATCCTTCTATTCAAGAGGTGGTGAGGTTCACATTGACCTAGGAATTTGAATATAAAGACATAAATCATGAAAGAGCTCACTTAAAAATAGCTAATTTGACATCAATCTCAAGGAAACAGAATAGCTGAATTTTTACCAGGGTCCTTGGTTCATTATTGTTTTGTAGGTTCAGTCCTGTGACACTTATAATTCCGAACAAGCTGATAAAAAGGAGCAAGAAAAAAAATCAAGTAACTTTCAGAGAAAGTCTGCAAACATGCTTCAGCAATCTGATTTTAAGAATACAGGAGCTAAGAAAAGAAAAATTGAAGATGTCTGAGATGATACTAAAGTTTTCAAGTAAAGTTTATGCATGTACGTATTATTTTTGTAATCAACCAAAGCTTAAGTTTTAGAACAGTTACATAAATATTTTATCCAGATGTAGACCTGTATTTACAGGATTTACCTCAAAAGTATTGAACGATTAAAAATTGGAGATTATGAAATGCCTATGTGATTTTATAGTATGTAATACAGGGGAAAATAATTTTTTGTAAAATCTTTTCAATGTAAAATGCAAAAGAGAATAAAGTCACGTAACTGATTTTCTTTATGCCTTATTATTATAACTTTTTTGGTACAGTGATCTTTTGATAACATTCTATAAATTTTATGTTTTATCATTATAATTGATTTTTTTAAATGAATAATGTGGATAGCTTCAGGTTTTGAAAATAGCTGTAGAATCCATACAACAAAGGAATTAGTTATCAACATAATAATAGCAGTAAGCTATTGCTATAATCTCTATTTGAGTAGAATAAAACTATAAATAAAACCTTATTTTGACATTGCAAAATCTTCATCAGAGAATGGCTCTAGTCTTCTAGAATATATTTTGGTTAACTAGATAAGCACCTAGCTAAATTTGCTCCAAATCTCAATCACAAATGAATATTTCATTTAAAACCTAGAAATAAGTAATCCAGGATCTGTTAAACAATAAGTAGTCAATTTTATGTTAGAAAAATATACATAGAAATATTTGAACTGATTTTGTCCTTAGAACTTTATGTTTTCCAGATTGGTCCACGAAAGTTATTACTTCTGAATGGTTAACTTCCACGTGTCCAGCATTAAGTCAATGTTGTCATTCCTTTTATTGTCTTTGGATTTCTCTGCCATATAGGGAACCTGGCATGGTTTTTGAGTTGTATTTTAATCAAAATAATCTTCTATATCAATATTTGGATCTAGCAGATCTTCTCCATATGATGAAAGGTCCATTTGATTTAGAATTAGGTTTTCAAATGTTTCCTCTAAATCGGTTTCACCAATCAAGACAGCCCCCATCATTCGCCCATTCTGCATGACAACTTTGACGTATTCTTGTCCTTTGGTACATCTCAGCATTAATTCATGATCCGAACCTAAGTCTTGCGCATTGTATTTTCCCAGTAACACAACCTATAGATAAGAATAAAATAAGATTTCACCAAAAAGGAAATGTACTACGTAGATATTTTGTGTTATACTATAATAGCCAGGAGAAAAATCTATTTTTAAAATCTTATAGCTAAAAATGTCACTGTGAGGGATAAGACACTCCTATGCCATGTACAGCAGTGGTTTTCAACCTTCCTAATGCCGCGGCCCTTTAATACAGTTCATGTATTATTTTCTTGCTACTTCATAACTGTAATTTTTATACTGTTATGAATCGGGCGACCCCTGTGAAAGGATCGTTTGACTCCCCCAAAGGGGTCGTGACCCACAGGTTGAGAACCACTAATCTATAAAACCATCTCTAGTGAATATAATCTTCAGATGATACCATCTCAACCTATATTAAAATTAAGAGTGAGTACATGCTATTGGAAAAAATGGTGCTGTGCTGATAGACTTAAGTGGTGTGGGATTGCAACAAACTTTCAATTTGTTAAAATGAAAAACCAAAATGCTGTATCTGCAGAGTGTACTAAAGCAAACCACAATGAAACAAGGTATGCCTGTACATAATTAAGCTGGAGTCCTGCCTGTAGGATTTTAATAAGGAACAGAGTTAGATCTTTTCTGGGCAAATGACTTGATTTTACTCAGCCTCTGTGTGTATGTTTATATATGTATTTTCCTTATCTCTAAATTACAGGAAAAAATTTGCCTAAGAATAATATAAAGAGGACTAAGTAGGATAATAATGATGAAATTAAAATAAAGAAGAAATGTACCCAAAGTGAAAAAACTTGGAGGTTTTTTCCCCTTAAACTGAAAAACAGTAATGAAATGATGGGTTCTGATTATCAGATAATTAGTAATTAAGAGTAGCAATAAAACCAGTTAATGAATTAGAGAAATGATAAAAGAATTTATTTTTTAATTAAATAATTAAAACCACATAGCCACATAGCTTTCTATACTGAGAAAGTTAGATGATCATATTTGATTATAAGATTAGCAAGCACAATAAAAAGGCATTGATTTGCTTACCTTATAGTTAAAAAATTTTGTTACGTGAGCAAAGAGTTCAAAGCTGAAATCCATGTCAATGGGCTCTCCCAGGTGATCTGCGGCCATGCACTTGGCTGCATACCACCCCATCTGTCTGGCCTGGGTCCACAGTCTCATCTGAAAGAAGTGCAAAATGTTATGCACTACCATGCGTCATTATCATAATTTGTAAAATGTCATCACCTTAAAGGGGTCCGTGTCTGGGACGATACTGCATATCAGTTGGATCTAGTCATTATTTGTCTTTGCCACAGAATCACTCACTAATCCAAACCAACTGAACTGATTTTGGCATTTGCTAATTCTGTCAAAATCGCTGCCTATAAAATTAAAGGACAGCACTCGTCAATTATCTGATTAGGTACAATTTTTATTTCAATATTGCCGGAGTGTTTTAGGCTGTAGTAGTAGGTAAGAATACCATTTTATTTCGCCAGTCCTCAGGAAATTTATTAGGATTAATAAAGATGCCAAACTTAATCACTGAATAATTGATTCTATTTCCAACGACACACTTAAAAACTAGAAAGTTGGTGTCCAGTCCAAGACAGCCAGTATTACAGTATTGATTTCCCCTTTGTTGTATTTTTTAGGGTTTGATGATTCCCTGGTGTTATAGAAAGAATATTGATCTTTAGTCACACTAAATTTGGTAATTAGTTTAATAATTGATCGAAGCATTTAGATAAGTTATTTAAATTTCCTGAGCCCTAGTTTTCTTACCTGAAGATAAACAGCTCTTACTCTTTGCCTATTGGCAGAATTAAATGGGTTAAGAAACTACTGTTTTTCCTTTTACCCTGTTGTGTGTGCATGTCTACCAAAGCTGTCACATCATGGAGATGAGCGTTGAGCATTTCTATTAGGAGTGACTAGGAGCCCGGGTATTGTAGTGGTTACACATTGGGCTGCTAACCACAAGGGGGCACAGTTGGAAAACACCAGCCATTCCAAAGAGGAGGCTTTCTACTCCCATGAAGAGTTACAGCCTCAGAAACCCCAGCCACAGTTCTAGCCGGCCTAGAGGGCCCTATGAGTCAGAATCAACTCGATAGTAGTGAGTTGGTTTTTGGTTTTGGATCAGGAGCAGTGCATATTCTTCATTCTGTTTTCCCTTTTTATAAATCCAGGTAGCTTGCTGACGGTGAAAGGCAGCCTATGACAAGGGGCCAGAGTCAATTGAGTAAGGACCAGGTACAGAATGGCTCATTGAAATGGCTCCTAATAACACACTGCTAGCCCATTACCTAATGAATGCAGTGGTTCTCAACCTGTGAATGGCAACCCCTTTGGGGGTCGAAAGACCCTTTCACAGGGGTCGCCCAATTCATAACAGTAGCAAAATTACAGTTATGAAGTAACAATGAAGATAATTTTATGGTTGGGGGGTCAACACAACATGAGAAACTATTTTAAAGGGTCGCACCATTAGCAAGGTTGAGAACCACTAACCTAAAATGTCCTAATCGCAAAATCCTTTGAGTTTGCATCTTGAACTATGTGAAACATTAATTAGTACCCTTATTGGTTCTCTAAGTTAAGAAATGAGGTCTAGTGGATTTATTCAAGACTCATTCAAAACAAAGGCCCCTTATGTTTATTTAGGGGTAATTTCCCCCTAGATTAGATCACAACACACATGTATAAAATTTATTGCGGTGGTAAGGAATTAAAATTTTAAAACACTCCATGAATACTAACCTATAGTTGATAATTTGTGGTTAAAACCACAGAAAGGACATGTGGAAGATTATAGAAAAGATGAAGAGGTAATTATGAAGCATTAAAAAATTCAAGCAGGCTGAAGGCAATTTTAGTGTTACTGTCTCTGCTGTAGGTAAAGCCCACGTACATACATACACACACACAACAGTACAGCGGCCTCTTTAAATACATTTAACTCTTCTACAACTTCATACTTAAATCATAGTAAATCTGATCTTAGAGTTAAGTGTTGCCTGGTTCTTTGATCTGTAACTTCTACCCTCCTAAGTCAACCTCATCTACGGGTTATTATCTACGCGTTTAATAACCATGTTATAGTCTGTCTTTTCTCCTTTTTGGGTCATCTACTAGTATACTATCCAGTGTGGTAATCACTAGCAACATGTAGCTATTTAAATTAATTAAAAAGTAAGGAACATAAAAAATTCCTCGCAGTAGCCATATTTCAAGTACCCAAAAGACCCATGTGGCAAGTGACTACCATATTGGACAACACAGGATTACAGACGATTTCCATCATCACAGAAAGTTACACTGGGCAGTACTGACAAAGCACACAAGAAGGAAAAAGTACAAAACAAAACAAAAAACTCACTGCCGTCAAGTCCATTCCAACTCACAGCAACCGTACGGGACAGGATGGGACTGCCCCGTGGGTTTCCCAGCCGCGTCACAGGAGCAGAAAGCCGCCTTTCTCCTGAGGACTAGCTGATGTTTGTAGCTGCTAGTACTATGGTGAGTTGGCACCCAACCAATAACCGCTAAGCCACCAGGGCCCCAGATGAAAAAAACTAACAGCCCATATTTATTTTTAAATAACAGATATCCCAGTTGGGCTGCTAAGTGTCAGATTAGCAGTTCAAAACCACCAGCTGCCCTCTGGGAGAAATAGGTTTTCTACTCATAAGAAGTTACAGTCTGAGTAACTCACATGGGTAGTTCTACACCCTGTCAAACAGGGTCGTTATGAGTCAGCATTGACTCATGGCACAGTAACAATGGCAGTGAGTCTGGATTTGGGGTTACATAAAGTATTAACCAAGAGAGGAACTGAAAACCAGGCAATGTTGAATTTGCTGGTAGCACTGTTTTATTCAGACAGGTTCTCTCACTTTAAACGTGTAGGCGGCTTACCTGCTGCCACACTGGGCTCGGCTGCCATGACGCAGTGCAGATGTCACCGGCAGCATAGATGTCAGGAAGTGACGTGTGCATATGATCATCCACTTCCAGGCCACCATCTTGTCCTAGATTAAACTAAACAATGTTCCTCATAAGCACAAGTGTCATGGAAAGTGAAAGAGAACTTCTTCACTCTGACGTAAAAGAACAAATGTTTACACTTATGGATACTGATGTTTAAGGAGAAGATAAAAAATGATGCAAAGTTTAGGCATCTAAGATGCATTTCTAGCAAGTCAAATTCCAAGGGAATTTCACTTATACACAGTTCTTCAAGATCCAGTATAAAAAATAACCATTTAATTATCTGTGATTTTATATATACATATATACATCTATATTACAAGACAATTCCTTTTAATGCACACACAAACACGATTTGAATGCTCAGAAGCAAATCACATAGGAAAGTTTCTTTAAAAACAATCATTTTTAAGAATATATAGGAGTCCTGGCAGCATAGTGGGTTAGTCATTGGGCAAGGTCAACTGATTAAATCTACCAGCCACTCTGCAGGAGAGAGATGATGCTTCTGCTCCCATAAAGATTTATAGCCTCAGAAACCAAAGGGGGCTGTTCTATTCTGTCCTTTGGGATCACTGAGTCAGAATTGACTCAATGGCAGTGAGTATAGTGGCTAGTCTCTTAAGCAGCTCTTGTGGTGCTGTGAGTAAAGCACTGGGGCTACTCATTGCCATGTCTGTGGTTCAAAACCACCTGCCGCTATGTTGGAGAGATAAGGCTGCTCCCTGCTCTCCTAAAGATACAGTCTCAAAACCCTAGAAAACAGTACTGTGCCCTATACAGTGTGGCTATGAGTCAGAATTGAACCGATAGGTGTGGGTTTGGCTTCATTTGGGACAGCCTCATATTAACCTTTAGATAAGTGAATCGTGTATCACGTCCTTTCGATGACGCTTATATTTATTGGCCAAGTCTCTTCAGTAAAGGATACTTTCAACCGAGACATAAATATAACCTTATTTTAAGCCATCTTCAGTTACACTTTGGTGCTAAAGCAATTATTCATTGTTGGAGAATTAGAGATCTACATAAAGAATTAAAATTTTATAATAATAGTTGAAGAAACTATTTTCCTTACATTGTTGCCAAGGACAAAAGGTTCTACATTTGGTGTAACTCCTGTAGCACTGACAATTAAATCACATCCGTAGATCTTTTCATTGGTTAATTCCACGTATACTGGCCACATCTCTGAAAAATTAAAATCTTTATTCTCAAATGTAATCATCAAGTTGTAGGAACTCTAATGACAAGGCAAATTAGATGACTTTAAAACAACTATTTAATCATTTTAATAAAGGACATCTATTAAAACTCTTTAAACTCATTTATTCATCTTACTAATTGGGCTTTAGACATTTTTTAAATCACAGAAAATAATTTTTTAATGCAAAAAACATTTTTGTTCTAATTATAAAATGATGCTATTCTAAATATTCCTTCAAATTTAAACATAATGCTAACAAAGTCAATTACACTTATTAATGAGTTTCTAAACTGTTCTAAATTATTTACTTAAAAACCACTATTTATGGTTATACTTTACTAAGGGTTTAGTCCAACTAGATAATATTCCAGTATGTTTTTCCTCACTCTTCATAATAAAATTCTAACGCTGTCTTTCCTTTTAAGAAAAAAGTCAAGAAATTTCCCACACTAGTTTAGATGAGTATTTCTCCAAATGATGGTAGTTCTCTCACAAGATGTAAGATGGGAATTAGGAAACCTGTTTTAAGCTTGAAACTAGAGACTTTTTAATCTTGTTTTATTTTGTGAAAGCAATTTCCCATCTAACTGCGTTAGGCTGGTGTTGTTTTAAACTTTAAGACCTTGTGTTTGACTCTCTTATGTTGGTCAAATCACCCCAAGCAAGCAAGCTCTATGCAAATTTTTAGAAAACTTAAAGGGTGATTAAGCCAGGGCTTAATATTTTGTACAAAGGACAAACTTGTAAATTTGTACAATTGACAAATTTAAATTTCATATGAAAATTTGAATTTTTTTAGCTATAATATAGCAAGATTATGCTATCTTCCTTTAAAACAAGTAGATGTATATTTTTCTTATTACTTACCTTTATCAATTGTTTTCACCGACTTATTGTCACTTGGAAGAATCAAGGATTCTTTTTTCAAATTTATAAATTCTTCCTGAAGGTAGATTTTCTTTATTTCACACATGTTCTCAATGTGAATCTTATGAGAAAACTATAAAGAAATACTGGTCACCGTCACATTCCAGAGAGAATGACTTGAATTGTAAACAATGAATAAGAAATTGTACACAACGAATAAGTAATTCTTATACTCCTATAGTAAAGCCTGTGACAGCTGGGGCTTGTATAAGGTAGAAACCTGACGGAGCAGGAAAATTCAAATAGTTGCCACTAGACGGGAGCAACAGAAAAGCAGTAAAATCGCAATCTGTCAAGTGGAAAACTTGTGAGACCTGGGTCGAAAACCAGGGAAGTCCTATTAAGTTCTAGATCTCAGAGGTTTCATGGTAATACACCCACTCCCTGCTTACTGGCTATCTCATTATCTAACAGTTTATTTATGACAACAATAGAAAATCAGCTATCTTACTATGTAGCATATTAACAACATATCTGGCAGTAACAAATGCCTCAGTGTGGCGCAAGAGTAAAACTTGCTATGATGGTTAAGGTTATGTGTCAACTTGGCTGAGCCATGATGATCAACGGCAGTTACATAATGATGTAATCTGGCAGTTATGTAATGATGCAGTCAGTTTCCATTTTGTGATCTGATTTGTTCATCCTTGACTTTCACATAATGCTGATTTTCATATAATGACCTGAATTTTGGAAGCTAACCCTGTCAATAAGTGAGGGGTTGAGAATACAAATGACAATATATTGGTTGCCCCAAAATAAAGCAGCTCAAGTTCTATGTATCAAGGTAGTAAACAAAATTCATCTATTACTGGAAGAGATTTGATACATTTATTGGTAGGCAGCACCAAGGCCATAGTTTTTATTCTAAGCCTCATTGATACTTCTGGGTATGTGTGTGTAATTAGCACTGTTACATACTATGCAAACCTCTCTTCAGGGCAGAGTACTGTTAACTTATTGTCATATCGCAGACCCTCAGTAAAGTACCAGTAAACTTTAAAATTTTAGGTTAAAAATACTTTTCATTCTTAGGATCTAAAGGGGCAGAAAGAAATAATTTTGTATAATATGCATGGCAAAAATTAGATAAATGATAAAGCCAGCCCCCTCTCACCAACCTGAAACATTGAAAACCTTTGAAGACATCATACACAGAAACGAAGGGTTGTACATATGCTCTCTTAAAATATGTGAACATCACAGCCTTTTAATAGCTATTAAAAATGAAAATATCTAGTAAGGGGAGTAAAAGCAAGGCATCTGTTTATAGTCACTTAGGATATTACGGATATCTGATTAGAACTCATTTTTCCAGTTAGTCACGGAGTCCATCCCACTCATCACAACTCCAGGCATGTCAGCAGAACTGGGCTCCATCGAGTTTTCAAACAGTAGATCATCAGACCCCTTCTGGGGCTGTTGTGTGGGGAGTCAAAGCAAAGGGTGGCAGCCGAGAGGGTTAACACTGCCGTCACCCAGAGGCTCCTCACTGCTAAAATAGTAGAAGTGCACTGAAAGCATCTGACTGGCCTCTGAGAAAGATCAGTGTGCTCCATATAGTTAGGGTAGGGAGCTCTCTACATGGAGAGTTAAAAGAAGACTGAGCGTCAGCTGTAGATAAATTTGATATTCACCATTGTTGGTTCAGCATGTGGCTACTAACTGCAACCCCCGCAGAAGCCCTCCATAGGGCCACTGTGAGCCAGAATCAAGCGGACGGCAGTGAGTTTGTTTTCTGTGGTTTTAGTGGGTAAGTGGGCTGAGTTAGAAATTCTTTCCTCACATAATAGATTTTCAATAAAGTTACCTAGCAATTTTTGGACTACATTTTAAACCAGTCTTTTTTAATCATTTAATTGGGGGCTCGTACAACTCTTATCGCAATCCATACGTACATCCACAGTGTTGAGCACATGTGTACATTTGTTGCCATCATCATTCTCAAAACATTTGCTTTCTACTTGAGCCCTTGGTATCAACTCCTCATTTTTCCCCTCCCTCCCCGCTTTCACCTCCCTCATGAACCCTGGATAATTTAGAAATTACTATTTTGTCATATCTTACACTGTCTGACGTCTCCCTTCATCCACTTTTTTTTGTTGTCTGTCCCCCAGGCAGGGGGTTATATGTAGATCCTTGTGATTGGTTCCCCCTTTCTACCCCACCCTCCTTTGACCCTCCCGGTAGGTATCGCCACTGCACTGGTCCTGAAGGGATCATCTGCCCTGGATTCCCTGTGTTTCCAGTTCCTATCTGTACTAGTGTAGTCTGTATCACAAAGTTCAAGAATTTAAAACTGTATTTCAACATATGAAAGCAGTATATGAACACACACCTCTTTTGTTCCTTTAAGATTCAAGCCTTCATGCCAATCAGGTCCTAAGGCACTGCCCACATTACTGGCCTTAGCTGTGGTCCTTGCCTCCTTTTTCCTTCCTGAGGAGACGAAATGAATTCAAAATTCAAATCATATAAAAGTTGCCAGGATGAGAATCACACCTGTGTTCTGAAGCATTTAGGTAATAATGTAGTAATTCCCACATAGAATGATAAAATTATCTACATTCGTAATCAGTTTTAATTTTTATGATGGAGTACTATAGTAATAATAATAGAACGCTGAATTTATTCACTGGTTAACAGGAAGGGGAAAAAACACATTTTCAAAATTTTGTCAATTTTTCGCACCTCCATTTAAAATTGTTGAATTTTATAGACCAAAATAAAAACTATTTAAAACTTTAAAAGTGTGAAATTGTCAGACTTGTGTAACTTATTAAATTCAATGCATATTTCATAAAATTATCTTTACATGCTGCCTAACTGTAGCATCTACTTGAAAATAGGTATGAAATGGTTTGGTGATGGATGAGTTGGTTTATTTTAAATCACATCACACTTCTAGTTTTACTTATACATGTTTTTCATAAAATAAAAATGTTCTAAAATATCTGAAAAATTCATGAAAGGAATATGATCAACATTTCTATCTCAAAAGAATATTTTGCTGTTTTCATGTCCTTTTCTACATAGTTAAAAAAGTTTCATCTGTGAATTAGGAAGTTAGAAGCTATCTTTACCTTCAGTTGTATATCTGGTTCTTTTATGTGCAATTTTTGCTTCTAGTTTTTCAGTAATGAGCTCTGAAGTCAAGAATTCTGCTGCTCCCGCATCAAAGAAAGTATTCCCAATAGCTTTATCTTTAATAGCCCAAATCACTTCACATCCTTCAATTTCGTACCTAAATGGTAAATGAAAGTTATATACAGTAATTTTAACAGTCCAAATGCAAATAATTGCATCTACAAATGTTATCTCCTGAGACAACAGAAAAAATTAAGGCAAATTGAGAAAGAATGATAATAAAAGCTAATAAAAAAATGACACACAGAATAGTAAAATAATTTTAACCAGTTTACTCAAAGTGACAAACATATATTGAATATCAGATAAAATTTCACCACAATTTGAATATAAATTTCAAATGTTCAATTTATACAACAAGATCACATGAATGTCTTCAAGGTTCCCAATAGTAATATTTTGTTTATCTGGTTATAATTTGTTTATCTGGTTACCTATCAATACTAGATGGATAAATGTATGTCACAACAATATTGAGACTAGTTGATTAATTTGGTGGCAAATCTTCTATATACTCGATCCCCACATTCTGGAAGAGGGACGGAAAGGGAGAACGACTGTTATGAATGAGAATGGAATCGTTACTCTGTGATTCCTTTCATCTCAGAAGTTCCAAACCAGCTAGCTAAAGAAAATGTTAGTTCACAGAAAAATCCAGGGTCCCAGATGAAGCAAGAAACACCCTTGGGATATATGTCACCTCCCGTTCTTGTTCATGAACTAGCCAGAACTTTTAGGCACCTGCTGTTTGTTTCTAGGTTTGAATACTGAGAATGTTGCTTGCTAGCAATAATTCTCTCACAAAACCTTCTGAAGCCCATTGTAGTTAGTGTCATCACATAATTTACCATCCAGCTTGGTACTGATAGTCATTTTGATACAGAAGGTATATATTAGGACTATCCTGAATCAATAGGACACTTGGTCATTCTACCTATAGTAAGCTTTTATTTGATCTTACAACAATGCACTGCTTTATTTTTAACTTCTATTTATGGTGTACAAAATTACTATCTATTTCATATACCAAAATAATATAAAAAGTTCATCAATAAGCAGATGATAAAAAAAGAAATAGTAGATCACCTGATGGTAGTGTTTTTCAGCAAATGGTAAAGAATCCCCTTGCTTAATCTAGTAGGATTTTTTTTGTTGCTCTTTTATGCCACAAAAAATTATTTATAGTCGATAGATCTCAGATTAAAAGAACCTGTAGATATTCGTATGATCAAGAATTGAAGGTGCTAAAGGAAGAAGTTCAAGCACACTGAAAGCATTAGCCAAAAACAAGGGTCCAGGATTGATGGAATTCCAAATGAAATGCTTCAAAAAACTGATGAAGCTCTGGAAGGAAGCAGTGGTATTGATACTGTTATTGTTCTATACTTTGAGCATTCTGTTGGACCGCCTTTCTTTAGAATGGGTGCACTATAATTCTTTTCTGTGGCTTGCATCCCGAGTTTCTGACTGGAAAAGAATCACATTTGTACCCCTGGACTACTGAAAGGACAGACCTATGTGTCTTAGAAGAAGTGTGGCCAGAGTGCTTTCTTACATACTCTGGACAGACTGTCAGATGAGACCAGTCCTTGAAGAAGGATATCATGTTTGGTAAAGCAGAGGGGTGGCGAACGGGAGGAAAACTCAAGGGAATGACTGGCACTCTGGCTACAACAATGGCCCAGGCAGAAGAACAGTTGTGAAGAAGACTCGGGAGCAGGTTCATTCTGTTGTAAATCAGGTCCCTACAGGTCAGAACCGACTCACTGGCCCCTAACAACGACATTGTTAGCATCACTTGCAGAAGAGCATCCAAGGGCAGTTGTAGCAGTACACTGACAGCGAGCTGCCAAAGGTTCACGCTAGATACACTATGAGTAGTGTGGGCAAGAATGGGAGTTCCAGAACATTTCTTTGTGCTCATGCAGAACTTACACAACAATCAAGAGACAGGTATGCAAACAGAACAAGGTAAGTGCATGGTTTAAAATCAGGAAAAGTGTGCATCAGGACTGTATCCTCACCATACTTACTCAATCTATATGTTGATCAAATAATCAGAAAGTAGATTATATAAAGAAGAACTTGCAGAATGATTAAGGAAAGCTTATTAACAATTTGAGATATGGAGATGTCACAACCTTACTTGCTGAAAGTTAAGGAGAAGTTGAAACATTTGCTGATAAAGGCCAAAGATTGCAGCCTTCGGTATGAATTACAACTCATTGCAAAGAAAATCAAAATCCTCACAAGTGAACCAGTATGTAATGTCATGATAAATGGAGAAAGATTGAATTTGTCAAGGATTTACTTTATCTTGCCTGGCTGGATCCAGATTCAGTGCTCATGAAAGCAGCAATCAGGAGATTAAATGATGCACTTGCACTGGGTAAATCTGATGCAAAAGATCTCGTTAAAGTCTTGAAGAGTAAGGATATCACTTTGAGGACTGAGGTGCGTCTGACTCAAGCCATGGTATTTTCAATCGCCTCATATACTGGGAAAGTTGGACACTGAATACTAAGGAAGACTGCAAATTTGAAGAAGAATCAATGCACTTGAATTATGGTACTGGTGAAGAAGATTGAAAGTATCGTGGACTGCCAAAAGAACAAATCTATCTTGGAAGAAGTACATTCAGAATGCTCTTTAGAGTAAGGACGTTATCAGGAGAGACCAGCCCTTGGAGAACGACATCATGCTTGGTGAAGTAGAGGGCAGTGAAAAAGAGGCAGCCCCAGGACAAGACAGACTGAGACAGTGCCTGTAACGATGGGGTCAAGCATAACAGCCACTGAGAAGACGGAACAGGACTGAGCTATGTTTCGTTCTGTAGTACACAGGGTTGCTATGAGTTAGAACTGACTCCCCTACCAACAGAGCTCAGATTATTTGGAGAACATTCTGTTATGTTGCTCAGATTAAATATCTTTGCCAATCAACGAGGAGTAGGCCACAGGTAATCTCCAATTTATAAAGTATTTCAGTCATGATGAACTAACCACTTGCAACCATCTCTTGGTTTGTTTGTACATCTTATTAACATGTACCACATACAATGTTGCAGCATGTTGATGGCATCATTCTCAGATGTTCCAAGATCTATTGATAAAGGTACGGATAATAAAGAGCACTAATAATGGGAAATTTAAGAATAATTAAAGAGAGGTATTAGACTTACATGAGAACTTACAACAGAGTCATTGGAATAGAACCCTGTCATAAGTCAAAGACGTATTTGGGAATAAACTATGTGTTTCAATATACTTAGAATGATCATGATATCCTTTCCTTAATTTTTATCAGCCAGGAACTGCTCTACCCTACTCTTTTTTATCATTTAAAAGTAATCATATTAAACATATCAGTGTGTTAAACTGACAAGCCACAGTTCTACATAACCACCACGTGAAACTCCTGTACTTGCTCTGCCTCACAGAACACCCGCTAATCCTCTCCCCTTAGTTACATTGTGCTCCCAGCAGTACTCACAGATATAGTGATGATGGAGTACAGTTTGGTGAGATAATGGTAGAAAATTATGCTTGAAAAAGGATGAACCTACACTTGGAAAAAGGAAAAGAGAGAACAGAAATAAAAGGATCTTGAAAACGAGAAGCCTCGGTTGAACATGGAAGCTCTATGTACAGAATCTGAATGTCATTTTCTATAGTGAAAAAGCCAGACCTAGTCAGTCTTCAGACCTAAACTGAGAGAACGGCACAATATGAAGCCTTTCCTAAACTTTTGAAGAAGAGATTACGGAACAAAAATATGGTTTTATCCGATTTTCTCCGAATGAAGAAAATGAGAATTAAGATGAAATGAGTTTAAACACTATTGAACATAAGAAAGCACTTCAGTGTAAATAACAAGTTAAACATTTGGAAATTTCTTCAACTATAGATTCCATGAATACTAAAAATAAATTAAGCTGTTCTCTTTGCAACTACATGAAAATCAACATAGCCTTTATTTTCAAATGACCAAGTGTTTTCTAGTCTGCCACTAACCACATAAACGATATAGTAATGTGTGAATATTATTTAAAAATAAGTACTTACACTAACTCGAGTGCAATACCACCATTCCCTATGATCATTATTCTTTTAGCTGTAGTGAGTTGTTTCTGAAATTCCTGGATTAGAAAGAAAATGACGAGACAGTTTTGTACTAGTGGACAATATCTGAAGCGAGAAGTATCACTGATAACATTTTATTTATTTTATAAAGGGATAACAAAATAAATCTCACTTTTCCACTTTGCACTTTCCCAATTAACAATGTAAATGGTTCCCTTTGTGTTTCATCCCAATTTGTCTTCATTGCAATGCTTCTGATTTCCTTGCTTTATATAAAATTATGTATATTAAAACAAATGATGAGCTTGGATAAATCCATGGCCATTCTTTTGGCTCATTCAAAAATAGAGTGAATGAATCACAATGCTTTCAGAAGACATGTGAGCGGCTACATTTCTACTTTGTGCAGTTACCATTTCTATTACAGGAATCCCAAATCTTGTTGCAATATTCATTCAGTCGGCAATAACCACTAACAATGACTATTACTTTTAAATTGCCCAAGAAAAGAAACGGAGGTTAATTTTAGTAGGCCTCATTCCAGGAAGTGGACAATTGAAGGAAATGTGTAAAGAACGCTGGACTGGGAGATCAAAGGCAGGGATGTACATTGCACTTTGGTAAACTTACGAGCTACTAGAACAGAGGAAAATTACTTGATTTCTCAATCTGTCTCCTATTGGTAACGTGGGATTAACAACTGTCACGGAGGATGACAGAGCGGAGTCAATGAGTCTGTGACTTTAGAGGGGCTGCTGGACCACAGTCGCAAGCTCAATATTGGATGAACATTTTTGATTATAGGAATCTAAAAAGCTTACTAGATAACCAAGTACTTTCAGTTTTCCTCCGAACGCTTAATTATTAAGAAATAAATAGGCTGAAGAAAAACATTCTTGGGTTTTCAATAACATAAAAGATTTTATAAACGTAAAATTGTCACCTCATGGGACCAAGCAAAAACAACAATGTGCTTGCAGTAAAACCAGGTTCTGGGACCAGGAATGAGGCAGAGCTTCTAGACTCTCAGCTAATAGGTCCTGAAATCATTTACCATAGGAAGTGGTATAAGGTTTCTTATGCAGAACTCCCACCTGTCCAAGAGACTTTCCCAGTTCTATGATTCTATCTTCCTTTCTTGGCTGGGGAATCAATAAGTTTTGCATATGCTATGCTTTCCTCTTGTTGGAGAAAGATCACTACGTTATGTGTGTTGCAGATTACAGACTCCCCCATCAGACAGTAATACATGTATATGTGAGGTGGGAAACCTGCTCATCAAAAGAACATAGAGCACAAGTATGAATAAATTATCAACTAAAAAAGAAACGGAAATTGGCCGTAATAGAACACTGTAAATACTTGAGAACAGTTTCTGGTTTATAGGCTGTTTTCTTCTACAGTTTAAGAATTAACATTATCAGCAGACCCCAGGAATTCAAATGTAGACCAGCGTAAGGAACCCACTAGTTACCTGAGCACTGTCTGTATCACGGATTCCCACTACATACGGATTTCCTTCACATACCAATTTTGGTTTAGCTCCAGCACACAGGCAGAGCTGCTTATATATATACTGGCTGCCATCTTCGGTTAAAACGCACTGTGAAAACACATAGCAGTGAAGGAGTAAAGACATAGTTACTATTTCACTTGAAATAAAAATTCCAAAAAGCAAACAATGTATTAAAGCTGCCTCTGGGTGGCACTCAGTATTTGCTTCAGTAATTACAAAAAGCCAACCAGCCAGAGAGTGCATTCCAGAATCTAGTGACCTAATCACGCGAGGGCCTGAATTCCTTTGAGAATGTGATACAAACTAGACCTCCCCTTGGAGAACATTTAGTACCAAACTTTGGGGAATCTTATGATGTTTGGAGAGGCATCGTTTAGAAAGAAAAGCATAATGATTAAAATTAAGCATTCTGATCATATCATATACCTGGAGCAGGCTCTGATAAACAACTGCTTCCATAGAAGCATTTTACAAAGTTACTGGCAGGAGCCACTCGGGCTCCTTACCCTGATTCACTGCCATCTCCTCCCAGCTATCCCACTGCAAAGAGCAGGCCTGTACAACAGGGTTGGTGAGGCTACAACCTTCACTAGAACAGAACGCATCACCTTTCTCCTGTGGATTAGCCGGAGGGTTTGTTAGCTACTGTGAAATTCCTGGAACCAGACATGAAAGTAAAGCTACCTCTAAGTCACTGAAAATGGAAAGCAAGGGTGAGACTGCAGACATGCAGTTCCTGAGGGATCATTTTCAATTGGTAATGAGCACTAATTCAAGTGCTCCAACATACAAAATTCCATCCATAATACATGGATTAATGTGTTAACACTATTAAGACTATTAACAGACATGAATTCAAAATTATGAGGGGATACCACCCCCAAAAACCAGAATTGGACTGGGCTGAGTGGAGCTTTCGTAGTACGCATTTTTACGCATTTTTCCCCACCAGGTGAGCACCAAAGAACTAACCCTTAGTGCACCCAGTGGCACTGCCTGGGAAGGTTCTCTCTGGTCACAGTGAATTTTTTCGTAAAAGCAGTTTTGTTCAAACGTTTTTTGTGATGGCCAATTTAAGAGAACAGTGTGTGGCTGTGAAATTTTGTTAAGTGTAATGGAGAGCATTTTGAAGGCCATAAGGTTGCTTTGTAAAAAAAAAAAAAATTGTGGTTTTTTTTTTTGGGGGGGGGTATACCCCTGTGTATGTTTTTCCTTAAGCAAAACAAAAGCAAATGAAAGAAAAGCCAATACTTTTCTCACCTTTTTTTCCCATTCATATTACTTGCTTCAAATATGCCATATATGTGTTTTCTAAGGGAGAATTCATAAATCAAAATTGCCTGAGGAAAACATCCGTGTACTTTCCATTTTGGCTACCTCTCATCTGAGGATCCTGTACAGGTGACATCTGACATGGGTACTTGTTCAGTCTGTCTTGGCTGCGGCCTCTCTCACCTCTGGGCTTCTGCAACTCTCTTCTAATTTGGTGCTTGTTTACCACATACTCCCTGCATCCCAGCTTATTCCCTAGTCTCTAGGATGTATTTTCCTAATACAAAAGCTATCACTCTTGCCTCACTTAAATCTCTTAATGATTTCTCTATTAAATATAAATCCATTTCACAGCATGAGAGAAAAGGCTCTTCAGAATTTTAAAATTTTGTTTTCCTTGTCAGTGTCCTTTACTTATCCACATCTCACCCTGTCTGACATCCTCACCTGTCCTCATTCCTTCCTTTCCAAAGATTAGAACGCGCAATCTTTTCTGTAATGTTCTCTTCCACACAGAGCACTCTGAATTCACCCATCTTTTGAAACCCCACTCAAATATTAATCCCTGATCCCATGTCAATGACTGAGTGCCACAAGTCACTATAATGATGTTATGTGTACATGTCTACTTATTCCCTACTCTAATTTGGTTCTAGAGAGTATTATTCTTAGCTGATGCCAGGATCTAACCTAAATGCCCATCTACACTATAAAAATAAATGCTAATTTGAAATGTGAAACCTAACATGCTGAAGTAAACTAATTGTATGTAATGCTAATCAATTCACAATAAAGTATAACTTTTCCCTAATAGTAATGAAAATCTGTTACTAAGCTTCACATGTTAGGGACTGAAATTGTGATGGTGGTGGTAGCTGTAATGGCAGAGGTAGAGGCAAAGGAAGGCAGGCAATATCTCACTAGTAGTAAATAATACTGGGAAAAACCAGTTTCTTACATGTTCTTCACTCTTCAGCTGCTTCACTCCAGATTCTATAACCTTTATGTTGGGAAAGCGGGTTTCCAACAGGGTGCTAGGTTGTTCTTCAACATCAAATTCTTCTAATAGTTTAGAAACCTGTATTAGATCAGAGGTAAAGAGCATATTTTGAAAAAGTATTCTTTCAAGAATCTTAATAAAAATAGTTGTTTTTATGCACTTCTATTTCATGTACACACGA